TAAGGAATCAAAAGCCACAACAGAAACTTCTGAGCATTCCTTCATCTGCCAGTAAAAACTGAAATATAAAGGATTAGTGTAACATAGGTTGGTGAATAAGAATCACCTACATATAGTAGGAATTTGTCATCATCATCATTATCTTCAACTGCTCAATCCAACTAGGGTTGTGGTAGCAGTTGGGCGAGCAGAGAATACCAGATGACCCTGTCCCCCGCAACTTCCTCCAGCTCATTCCGGAGGGACTTTGAGCAGCTCCCAGGCCAACTTGGAGATATAATCCCTCCAACGGGTCCTAGGATGACCCCCGGGTCTCGTCCCAGTAGGCCGTGCCTGGTAAACCCCCACCTGGAGGCTTCCAGGGGGTATCCTAATCAAATGCCCGAACCACTTCAACTGGCTCACAAGAGATCATGTACCCTGCCCTGGAGAGGGTTACCAGGACATACCCTGGGGGTAGTAATTCTCCAGTGTCTGGTGGCCCGGCAGCCAGTGTAACCTAAGGTCCAAGCATGAGGGACCAGTGCAGTGCCGTATAGGCTGCGTGGACCCCTGCGGTGAAAACTGGCTCTTGGTAGTAGGAATTTGTTTTGGTAAAAATTCTGACATTTAGAGTATCTCAGTAAGGAGCTCTGAGATGGTGGAAATTATTTCAAACTGACTCTGCTGTTTCAGTTTCCAATAAAAGGTTTAAAACTCATCATGTTTTGGTTTGATAGTTTCATTCCTTTACCTTCTGTGCATTTCCTTTTACATTAGCTAAAACACTGCCTGAATGTGCAACACTAAGCCATGAATGAACAGTATGCCTTTGATTGGGAACCCAAACCAGCGGAAATGCTTTACCTGGTTAGAAAAGGGTAAATAGCTAAAGCACAGTGCCAGTCTGCTGGTCCTGTGACCCGCTGAGTGAGCAGAACAGTAGAGAACTGAAAGCAATGTTACCTGATACTGTATTACTGCATATCAAAACAAACACTGATGAGTCATTGGAGTTAAAGAGACTGTATGATTTTTTTGTTCTTTTGACCATATTATGCAAAGGTCAGAGAGCAGCCTTCATTTAATTTACTGTCAAAGAACCATTTAGTACAAGTTATTTTTCAACATCAGGAAAAAAGCAGAAAACCCCACAGAGGCCTCAACAACTAAATCTAATCTCAGCTGTGTGAGTGTTCAGTGAGTCACTCTTTACCTTTATTCCAGCTTCCATTCTTTTCAGGAGACTCACTTTCAGTTTCTCAAAGAAATCTGCAGACACGCCTCCAAAGTTCAGTCTTAGAAGTTGGTTGATCATTTTCTGAAGTAATCAAACACAGTCAGTGATATTGAGGTCTGGACTCTGGGGTGGTCAGTCCATTGTTCAGCTTCTTTGTTTGATGTGTCTGTCTCCTTTTCTCAGTGAGGCTTCTTGACAGCTACACATCTTTTCAGACCCACAGCGCTGAGTCGTCTTCTCACAGTGGAAGGATGGACAGAAACACCTGTGGATGTTTAGTTGTATGTAGTTTTGTACTTTCTATTTAGAAAACAAATAGGTTCTATCTCCAAAGTCAAACTCTAACTTAGTTCTATAAGGTCCTATCTGCAAGCCAATCAGCACTTCAATACACACTAAAGAACCAATCAGGTTCTGCTTCTTTGTCATGCCGCTGTACTGCTCGGTGCCAGCGGAAAAAGTTTATATAATTTTATAAAACATGAAAACATGTTGCCGAATCTCTGCCTGTCTTCTTACAGCTCTTTAAAAACTCTTATTGTCTTAAATGTTAAGTCTTAAAGGTCATTAAAAAATAAACACTATTATTAAATTAAATTTATTATTAAATTAAATTCATTTCATTCATTCATCCATCCTTTCTTTTTCTTCTTTCTGTCAATATAAGACAAGAAACATAAATAAATATCATAGAAAATAAATAAAATAAAGATAAATAAATCTTATAAAATGTCATAGATAGCATTAAATTCAACTCAACACTAATGTTATGTTTTAAAACAAATTACAAGTGTAAACTGTTTGTGTACCTTGAAAATCATCGCTTGTCAAATGCCGATAGAACCTTATAATTCCAAAGGGATGATATGGTAGTGAGTAAAGGGTGTGGGCACCAGTACAGACAAACTTTGGAAATTAGTTGGATGATGAATATTGGTCTTGGAGGCTCACCTGACTTGTAGAGCTGGAAAGTGTGACGGCTAGTGTTTATGGTTGAAGAAACTGACCCGATTAAGGCCACGGCTTCCTGCAGAACCTTCTCATCTCCACCCATCTCACAGCTCTTCATAGGCAAGGCAGGTAGCGCTAACATTCATCAGGTTAAACCTGCACATCCCAACCTGGAAAAAAGAAAGGAACAATCAGGACAGGCTAGTATTCTGGTTCACACTGTTATCTATAAAATGGACTAAATAAAGAGTTCAAAGTGGCATATTTTGTCCTTTTTTATAGTTAATAGTATTAGCCAGAATGCTAGCCATCCTCACGCAGCCTGTCATTACTTAAAAACACAACACAGCTTGAACTTCCATTACTTGTACTTTACTGTACAGTGGAAAACTAACCTAAACCAAAATCGGACACCAAACATGTATTGGAAATTGTGTAAAATTGATGCTTTGATGAACTCTTGATCTGCACTGTGGTTTCTTTATTTGATTGTTCTGTTTAATTTGCAGGTCTACTCTCCACTCGTCACTAAGCTCTAGGTTCACCTTGGACTCATAAGGATAAGAACTCTCTGACTGCAGGCCTCCGCTGTGTATGACATACTCGAAGACCTGCTCTGACCACCTCTGCAGCCATGGTTTGCAAAAAAATCAAGAGCAGTTGACCAGCTGTTGCTTGTTCAGGATACCAGCTTCCTTGTCTTCTGGAACATCTGACCCTCTAGCATCTGAGAGAGAGGGATATTTGATCAAAACAGAAGGAAAGAAGTGCCCAGGACATGGGGCAGAAAGCCCCCTATAGCAGAGGTCGGCCACATGCAGCTCTTTTACTGCTCTGTTGCGGCTCCGCAGCAGAATTAGATTTGTGGGTAAAAAATAAAATAATCCTCCTTTGCAATAAAATAAGCTCTGCTTCTAACGCAGTTTTAACAGTAGACGGTCTTAAATGGTGGAGTCAATGTAGAACTGATGATATTTGAACAAGAAGATGGCAAATGATAAGCCGACTTTAGCCTCGTAAAAAAAATCAAATGTTGAGAGACGTTGTACAAGAAACTGTTCCACTTTTGGAAAAGTTTCCTGCCGAAGATGTGAGAAAAGTGGCTATAGTGGAGCTAAAGCTTAAAGCAGAGCAAAGTCTGTATTTTTGTTTATATTAAATTTGTTAGACTATACTAGCACATTAGTACATGCTGAGACATACTTACAGCCAAGATGGTAAAATGGACATGAAATGTTGTGGCTCACAAGGTGGTTTTATTTTTTTAAGAAGGACAAAATGGCTCTTCTTAACATCTGTATTGCTGACCCCTGCCCAACAGCATATCATAAAGTCAAAAAGTTGTTCAGTGGAGTTTCACTGAATAGCTTGCATTGGCATTCCATGTTAGCTATAGTGACCACAAGCTCTTATTAACTATTAAAGTAATTCACTAAATTTATATTTTCAGTTATTTCTGTATGTGCACGCCTGGTCAAATTTCATGTATGTGTTGATTTTCTATGTGAAAATAAGGTCTCGGCGAGGTGATAATTTGGCTGGACAATCACAATCTGGTCCTGGAACACAACATGCTGGCTGACCAGGGCATCAAAAGCTACAGATTCAGCATGAACCACTTTGCAGACATCAGGAGAACCTACACATACAAACCCCAGTCTCAGCTGTGAGGTTTATCACAAAATATGATGTTCAGTAACTATACTTTCATCATTTGGGAAGTAGGCCAAGAAAAGCACAAATGTGCAAATGTTACGGTCAAGAATTTGCACAAACTTGTGGTTTGAGTGATTGTGAGTGTTGCTCTACAGTTTCTCATTAGGTGGAATGAATAACTGGCTCTAAATGTAGGTATTATGATATAAACTGAGTCTGTTCTACAGTTTCTCAATAGGTTAAATGAAAGACTTGACAGAAGGACCCTTGAGACTCGACTCTGACTCACCTGAATTCACTCCTCAAACTGTTGCCCATTTCACAGAGGCCCCGCTCACACATCAATGTGGATTTTATAAGCTCCCCCCATCAGGGTAATACTACAGTATTGGTGGTAATAGATTGCTTTTTAAAATATGCTAGTTAATTCCAAAGAAAAACATATAAATGGTGTGGAAATCACAGAAGCCCATTTCATGTGTTTAGCTTTTTGGGATTACAGGAGGGCAGCGTCTCATATACACCTCTCTGTTTATCTCTCTCATTGTGAGGTATTGCCTCTGTCTACCAGTGCATACTGAGCCTTCTGTCTGTAGTTTGTTTTCTAGTTATGACCCTGTTTTGTCTACTGTTGTTGATTCATTGATTTACCCCTTTGGCTAAGGTTACCGGTTGGTTTGCTTTTTGGTTTAGATCCTCACCTGTTTACTCACTACTCTTTTTGTCTGTTCCTATGTACCGTGTTTGGCTATTCTTGCTTTTGTCCTGGTCTGGAGTTAACCCTACTGTTTCATATCATTCATTATTTCTTATCATGCACCGAACCACATGAAAGCCATTCAGAGAGATCAGAGCCGGCCTTAGTGTCCTCACAAGGTGGTTTGATGGAGTCACCTACTTAACAAGTAGACCTGACAAGTAGACTTGCATATTAAAACTATTCAAACAATTCATTTTTGCTGCTGGATGTTAATGTGTGTGTGTGTATGCTGCTGTGAGGTGTTGGAATGAATTACAGCCATTACAGATTTTGTAAATGCTGAGAGTTTATTTTGTTTTTGAGCAGTCAGAAACAGTATTTCACACTGAGATTAATTTTGTATTATCAGAAAAGATAGTGGTTTAGCTAATGCTAATTCTACTTTAAAATAACTGAAAAAGAAATGTAATGTAAAGGCAATTCAGAGATAAATGTCAAAAGAAAACTTTTTTGCTGCACTGGTGAATAAATTCTTTCCAGACTGTAACCTCTTTCTTGGGGTGTTCAGGCTCTCTCTCCAGTCTGTAAACAAAAATAAACACATAAATAACAGAATTAATTCACATGAACTGCTGCATCCTTAATTTTCATTCTTATTTATTATTATATTTAGAGATACAACATATTTATTGGTGTAGTCCATTTCTAAATCTGGAGATCCCATCCCAGCTCCAGGAGGTCCACTGACCTCCTAGAGATCCTATCCCAGCTTCAGCTTATACCTTTAAACCACAGGGTAGTAAGCATATGTGGCAATACCACACTGGTTCCTCTTGTTTCTGGACATCTTGATGTAGCCTTTATCACCCCACACAGTACCCCAGCTGCAAAACAAATTACTGTGAATGTTGGATATTCATTTCATCTTAATAAAGCACAGTACCTTCCCAGACCATGTTGCACTTCTGTTTACCCTTCCAACAATCAGAAACTTTCTTAATGTTTTGCTAACTTGTTTGTTTACCTATTCTTGATCAGCCAGTAGTCCTTTCTGGATTTGGCAGTGCCATAACCAACAGCCAGTACGGCATGAGTCAGGTTAGTGCTGCTGCAGTTCGGCTCATCATACACACCTGTAATCATTCAGGTTACCAGCTTTCAATTAGGATATTCAATCATTAACTAATCAATTAAGTATCTGGTAAATCAGATAATAATGCAAGCTTAGAAATCAGGCAAATCCAGACACCCTCAACAAGCAGGAATAAGACAAGGAGTATCACAGAAAACTCAACTTGCAGCAACAGTGTCTAATTGACAATTTGTTCTGAAAGAAAGTCCCGCTTCCCTTAGTTATGCCAAACACTCAATACATGCTGCCTGGTAGCCTCTGTAACATGTGTGCTAACAGACCAGCAGAACAAAGGAGCATTTAGAAGCACACAGAGTACAGCAGGTTTCTGAGGTTTACCTGACTCGTAGAGCTGGAAGCTGTGTTGCGAGGCGTCTATAGCCACAGAAATAGGTCCGACTGTGGCCACAGCGTTCTTCAGAGCCTTTTCTTTGGGCCTCACTCTTTTATAGTTAGAGCACTTAGCCCATGCTCTCTGATTGTCATACCTGCATTTCCCTTCCTGAAGTGAGATGGAAAGAATTAGAATGGGTTGCTATACTTTTGGTTCAAAATTCAAAGGGATAGTTTCAAAAAGCAAATTTCTAAACTTTTTCTCTTACTCCAAATTAAGATAAACGGTGCGAAAACAAAAAAAAGTCTGCACTGGAGCTATAAAGCTAAGATCCAAGACCCCAGAAATTAGCACTGTGCAAACTGTCTGCCTGTATCATCACACACCTGCTTAAAATACTGACATATAAAAATGGACAAAATTCATGCAGTTAGCACCATGCTAATTAGGGGTGGGGGGAAAATCGTTTGTTAGATGCATTGCGTCACGGACGTGGGCGATTCTGAATCGATTCACGAATGTCAAAAATCGATTTTCTAAATATTTAATTTATAACGTATTGTTGACGGAACACAAAAGGCGGAACTTGGAAGTGCGGAAGTGCAGCACCCGGACAGTCTGTGACAGCACATAACAAAAACACACCTGGATGAGCAAGAAGTCTAACCGGCTCCCTCTGAATTAAAAGCTTAAGTTAGGTCAGGAGTCGACAACCCAAATATTAAGAAGAGCCATTTTGTCATTTCAACAAAAATCAGACCACCTTGGGAGTGTTTATTAAGTAGTGATGATGTGAAGATGATGAAGGAGACTCCGCTGACACTGTCTTCATTGTATAGGATGTTTATTACAAAGTAAAACAGTATCATATCAAAAACTATAAAGTACCTGAGAGGGGATCCATGCCAATTCTAAAGTGCCCCCCCCAGACCGCTAGAGCCAATGGCTTATATAGGCTGCTTGTTGTTGAAAAAAAGGAGACAGAACATATGGTCCTTATTAAAATAATCTCATCTACTTGGAACTAAGAGAAGAAGGGAGAAAGTGAGAGGCCTACTCCCTATGGGCCTTTGGACCAGGGGGCCCTGTTAATTTAAACATTCCAAACCTGCAGAAACAGAGCACATGGAACTCCTAAATACTACAATATCGACTTATACTAAAAGTTGAGTGTTTTTACCTTCTTCTATAAAAGCACTCTTCTAAATACACCTCAGGAGTCACAACATTTTGTCCAGTATGTCTCAATATGTGTTAATGTCCTAGTATAGGCTAAAAAATATTAATGAAAACGCAGACTTGCTTTGCTCTGCTTTAAGCTTTAGCTATAGCCGCTTTCCTCCCATCTCCACCAGAAAACTTTTCCTCAAAAGTAGAGCATCTTATTGTAAAATGTCTCTCAACATTTGTCTGTTTTACAAGGCTGAAGTCGCTTCTTATTCGCCAGCTTCTTGTTCGAATTTACCCGTTCCACCTTAAATTCTGCCTGAGGTGACAGAACGTAAATGCGGCACCATTTAAGGTGGAATGTGAAAATTAGAAAGAGAAGCTAACTTCATCTTCACAACTTTTTAGTGTTTGACAGTCTCTCGTTGCAGATTTAACATCCCAGGAAACCAACTGCAGTGCTTATAAATGCAAATAAGTCCATTCATCTCCAAATGTTCATCTTAAATCTCTTTGCATTTTCATTCGCTACTAGCCAGGCGAGACTGCAGTCTGCACGCCAGTCGTTGAGAACCAGGCCTTTCGCCCTATGTTGCACACTTTGTAGCCAAGATACAGCATCCTGTCTTGAAGATATTTTATTGACACAGCGACCCCCACTCTCTACAAAACCAAAATCAAAATTAAAGTTACAAAATAAAAAAAAATATATAAAAGAAAATGGGTAGGACGGCTGTAACATGTGTTCCTTGGGCATATATTGCTACTGGATTTTATGTCACCGTAACAGCGCATTTTATCACAGATGAGTGGCAGCCAGTGTTTCCTGTGCTCCAAACGAGAGCAGTGAATGAGAGCCTTCTAGTTCACTTGCCACATCGCTTCCGTTTGTTTTATTAATAAAAGATATTGGAAGAAAATTCATTATGGATCATTACAAATACTTTGCTTTAAAAGTATCAAGTCCTCACACAGTGAGAAAAAAGAAATCCTGTATAGAAAAAAAAGATGCATCAAGATGCATCGATAATCGTTTAATAATCACATCGCAGCCTCTGAATCGTAATCGAATCAAATCGTGAGGTGCCTAAAGATTCCCACCCCTAATGCTAATAGTCACGGGGGAGAACTATAATGAGCCACTTTTCATAATTCATGATTTTATAGAAAAACAAATGTGTATTCATCCCAGACAATAGTTGCTATGCATATTTAGGGTTAAATATAAAACAAGTTTAGCTGTTTTAAATATGTTTGGTTTGTCCTTTGGCACAGCTTGCCCTCAGGCAGGGGTAAATTGAGCATAGGCAGGGGAAAAGTTGAGCCCAGTAGAGGTGAAATGTGTCACATAAATAATCTACACTCTCAGAAAAAAAGGTCTGAAACTGTCACTGGGGCAGTACCCCTCTTGTCACTGGGGTGGTACCCTCAAGGATACATCTCAGTACCTTTAGTCAGGGAACATAATTGTACCATAATCCATTGAAATGATATTTTCTGAGTTGTATTGGCTCCACACACCCTGTCTCGTCTCCATGCTTTTTATTTTATTGTTGTTTTAAAACTTTAGGTTATGAAAAGGTTCGAATACATACTTTTCACCTGGAAAAACCTATTTAAATACACAATTGAACCTTAAAACCACTGTTGTACCTTTGAGGTACATTTACATTGTTTTACCTTAATGATCGAAAAATGTACCTGCACAGAACCTTTATTTCTAACAGTGTACCTACATAAAGAACAATCCAATCCCTCCAGAGATTTTCCACTCTAGTTCATATTATTCAAAGTAGTAGTGATCAAGGAAGGGTTGTTATGTTTGTAATGTGTAACATCCTGTCTTATTCCGTCTTTGTCTTTCTCTGTTTTAGCCTTGCTTTTCTTGTTTCCCAGTGCCATGTGTTTTTGTTTATGTCTGCCATGTGCCTTTGTTTTCTTGTCAAATGTTGTTGTTTTGGCCTGTCTCCTCCTTGGTCTGGCCCCTGGTCACCTGCCTGTAGTCTGTAGCCCCAGTTATTAGTCCCAGGTGTTTCTTGTTTCCCCTCAGTGTATTTATTTCCTGTGTTTGCTCAGTCCCTGTCACGCTTCCCTCCGTTCCCGCTGTCACTACCTCCCAGCCTCCAAACTCCATCTCCCAGAACACCTCACATGATCACATCACCTCTGATCTCCCTCACATGACTTTTCACCGGTCTGCTTCACCTGACTACTGATTACCCACACCTGTTCCTTGTTTCTTGTGCTTGTTAATTTGGTATTTAAGCCTGGGCTTTAGCATAGGATAGTTCCAAAGAATTGACTGTCCAGAGCCTTACAGAGTCTTCCAGTCTGTTTGTTTGCTTCCTTCACTGTATATGACCATTGCCTTGTTTGTTTTTGACTTTGCCTTTTGCCTTGCTCTCTCAGTATTGTTGCGATTTCTGATTCAATCTTGTTTCCTGGATTTTGGACTTTGTTTTTTGGACTTCCCTCATGGTTACTGTTTTCATGATCTTACTTTTGATCTTGGACTGGCTGACCTTGATTTTGGATCCTCCTTTTGTTAATAAACCTATTTTACTTACGTGTGGTCTGCGAGTGTCTGAATTCTGGCCTAACAGCTACTCAGTTTCTGGACTCTGATTCTCTAATCTGATTAAAAAAACAACAAAAAAAAAAACTTGCATCCAGCCTCATTGACTCCAATGTTACATTATGTAATTTATAGGACCATTTTAGGTAGAAAAAAAAGAACAAACTTGCAAACCTGCTCCATCCGGTTCTCAGAAACAGAATGGTCATTTCTCTTTGCTAACTCAAAAGCAAACTCCCTGCACTTCAGGCTGGAGCGGAAGGCAGGATACACCCTGGACAGGTCAGGTGCAAGAATACATTTTACCTAACTATTTATAAATGAAAATACATTCTATTTTAGTTGAGGTAAATTTAGCCATTGGATCAACTTGCCCACGATTTGCCGCACAACTCCCATTGTGGAAGCTTATACTGCAGCTCATGTGGAAGCTTATACTGCGGTGAGCTAGTATGTAAATGTATCAGAAGTTCATCTATTTCCTTTAACATGCAAGACTTATAATATCTTAACATTCATAATTTCACTTGGCATGAGATAAATCACATTTTTGGCTCTGTTTAGCTCACTGCTCCCTTCACATGCTCATCTCAATCAGAAATCATGTGAAATAAGCTATTTCTCCTGAATCTGTGATCATGTTTTTTTTACAAAATACAAACCCAAAATACCAAGCGTGGCTCATTTTACCCACTGGCTCAATAAACCCCCTTCTTCCCTACAGTTGGCATTCATTACTTGCTAGCTCCGTTAGCATTGCAGCTCCAGTGTAAAGCTGATCTTAGCTGATCAAAAACAGTAAGAACAAATTTGTATAAATTTAGCTTTACTGCAGCCTCACCTTGGCCTGATATGGATAGGCGCTCGCTGTCTCCAGGCCTCCACTGGACTTGATGTACTTGAAGGCCCAATGCGGCCAACCACCTTTACAGCCATGGTTTCCAAAATACCAGGAGCAGTCGACCAGCTGTTGCACGCTCAAGCTTACCAGCTTCCTTTTCTTCTTGAACATCTGACCCTCGAGTGCCCCCTGCCTGAGAGAGATAATAGAAAACAAAGGGAGGTGGAAAAATAGAAATGGGGTGTGTTTTCTTTCTTAAATAAAGCTCCCTTTAAAGTTCCACTCTTCCACAGCACAGAGTACTCCTACTTTTACCTGCCACGATATTGAAGGCTTGTGTGCAAAACAAGCCGTAAAGCAGCTGCTGCTGAAGTTGGGGGCTTTTCTTTGTATTCAGGTGAATCCTGTTTGCTTTAATAATCCTTGAGATCCTTGAGTTGTGTCTAGAACTCAACTGTAGTCCACCTGTTATCAACCGGACTAATGTTTTCAAAATTCCTGTGTCTGATGGTCTAAGTGGTGGGAGTATGAGACTAATATGCAAATGTCCTGTTCTTTTTTTGAATATTTGCAAAATTCTGAGAAAGTCCCATCCCCCTTTAGTTACTGTTGCTATGTTAGTCAAACTTTCAGTACATGCTACTAGGTAACATCGGTAACACACATGCCAACAGACTTGTAGCACAAAGTAAGCTATAAGCTCAAGAGGACAACATCTGAAAACATTTTATTATTCAATAATACACTGACTTGATATTCAGATCAGACATAAATCATTTGAGAACAAAAATTGATTCTGGAAACTGTTTCCCTGTTAATTCAGGGAAACCTTTCAGCCACTGACATAAAAGCAGCAGATTTTCATGTCTAACAGAAAGTGTAACGCTGGCTTTAAGAAATGAGTCACTCGCATTTAAAAGATAAACCATGGGGTTTATCAAGAACAGTGATTAGCTGAAATAACAGGGTTAACGCACAACCAGGTCAGAAACCAGATTAACAAAACACACTATATGGGCAATACATGGGCGAGGATTGTAACCAAAGAGCAAATAAACAAGTAGACCTAGTCAAAGGGACAAATCTGAGAATCAGCATGTGACTGAGATCTGCTGGTTGGCGTATGATTGATTAGTGGAGTCATGACAAACTGAGGAATTCTGGGAAGTGGAGAGCCCGACTGAGAACCGCTGCCACTTCAGATGAGCTCCAGGTGAGCTAATGCTAAATAATAAGAGCAACTTCACATTAGATACAGAGGAGGACTCTTCATCTTTTATTCAAAGTCTGTAATGAAACAATACCAAGAATGGCATATGTACAGAGTATTGATGTTTCTTTTCATGAAGAATATTTTTAATGCCAAATGTGAGCGCTTTACAGTCCTGTTTAATCTGGTATCTGTCAGCAACTAAACTAAGAAAAGATAACCAGTTAGCAATCAGATCTTAACATATTCTGTAACATGAATAACTGTGATTTTTTCCAAATTCGAGCAGTGTCTGACAGTTGGAGAGATGAGTGTGTAGGGCAACCACATGACTAACAGACTGACATTCGAATGTTGCGTTCCACCTTTTTCTGCACAATAAAAATATTTTGGATATACTTTGGTTGTTAAAAAATGTTTCTAATTGAAAAGGGGCATCCCACAATAATAAGCCCCTTTCAAATAGGTTAACTTAAGCATCTAAGTTTGTTTGGAAATATCTTGATATATACCGAATTTTAATTATACCATGACAAACATTTTCCCATACCACCCAAAACTACTTCAAAATTATTTGTCCATCTGGTTCTCCCTCTCTGTCTGTCCTGCTGTAACTCACCGCACTGAAAGCCCAGCAGGCCATACAATGACACTGGTCCTTAACCTCGGTTACATAGCCTTTTTTCCTCCAGTCCACAGTCCTGGGCAGAGCAGCACCCTCTACCGGTTGGAAGAATGTAGTTGCATTATCAATCTCACACTCCTTGAGGGATCCCAGGCAGCCCTTAAACATCTGCTGGTACTCCTGGTTATCCTGTTGGAGAAGAAGAGAGAGTTGCGACTCCCCAAAAGTCAAACATGATTACTGAAGAGCACATAATCAACAGAGTTGAGAAAAGATTCAGTGAATTGTGCAATGAAATGTCTAAGTGAGATCTCACCATGTCTGCAAAGCGGTTCATGCCGAGTCTGTAGCTTTTGATGCCCTGGTCAGCCAGTATGTTGTGCTCCAGGACCAGCTTACGATTGTCCAGCCACATCATCTTATGCTGAGTCTCTTCTTCCACTGAACCATAACTCTTACCTGAGAAGAAAACATTTTTTTTTCATACAGAGCCAAATAAAAATGACCCATACACTTAATCACCCATAATGACAAAAATGAAAAACATGTTTTTGAGAATAATTAAAAATCAAAAGTTGAAATGTGTTTCACAAAAGCCTGGGCCACTCCACATTGCATCCAGTCGCATCCTGTCTAGAACTCAACTGAAGTCCATTTGCTGCAATTTGAATTGAGTGGACATTGTTTGAAAAGGCACACATCTGGTTCAGTAAGGGCCCACAACTTACACTGCATTGTCATGAAGTCCAAGGAAGTGTCTGTGGATCTCCAAGATCGAATTGCGGCAAAGCAAAGATCAGGGCAAAAAACAAGGCTTTGAGTGTTCCTAGGACCACAGTGGCCTCAAAAATTTTGAAATAGAAGAAGCTTGGCACAACCTGAACCTTCTTAGAGATGGTCATCCAGCCCAATTGGGCATCAGGAAAAGAAGGGCCTTGGTCAGGGAGGTAAGAATGAATCCAGCACTCACTGTAAAAGAGCTCCAAAAGGTCTGTGCAGAGATGGGAGAACCTATTGTTTAGACAACCATCTCTTCAGCACTTCATAAATCCGGCCTGTATGGCAGAATGGCGAGACGAAAGCTTACTGGGGAAAAATGCTTCATGGAATTGGAGCAAGGTGAAGAAAAACATTCTCTGGTTTGTTGAGACAAAAACTGAACCCTTTGGGCAGAACAGCAAGCATTCTGTCTGGCAACAGGCACTGCACATCACCTGGCTGATGCCATCCCTAAGGTGAAACATGGTGGTGGCAGAATCATGCTATGTGGGTGCTTCTCAGTAGCAAGTAAAGGGAAACAAAAAAGCCAAATACATGACCATTCTTAAGGTAAACCTCCTGCAGAGTGCATGCAAACTCAGACTGGGGGTAACAGTGTCTCTTTCAACATAACAATGACCCAAAGCATACAGCCAAAACAACACTAAAGTGGCCTTGGGGCAAGTCTCTGAATGTTCTGAATGTTCTTGAGCCAAAACCCCGGCATAAACCCCATCGTACAACTATACAGATACCTGAAGATTGCCTTAAGAAGATCTGCCATGAAGAATGGCATAAACTGCCCAAATCCAGGTGTGCAAAGCTTGTAGAGAAGTATTCAAAAACAATTGCAGCTGTAATTGCTGCCAAAGGGCTTCTACAAAGTACTGAATGAAAGCTCTGAATACTTTTGTGAATTAGAAAATTAGTTTTCTAAAAGCTTTAAAACCATGTTTCACTGTCATTACGGATGATTAAGTATGGATTAATGAATAAAAATACCAATTATATTGATTCAAAATCAAATCAATAAAACAGTAAGGTGTGCAAAAAGTCATGTGGTCCAAATACTTTCATATATATTGTGGTGGTAAGAGGGAGCCACCGTGACCACTCCCCCACACAGGTGCAAGCTGCTCCTTTCCCCTGATATAATGCAGTTGTGACTAATGAGAAGAGGAGCACAGCCACCTTTAAAAATTAGATCTCTCTGGAGAATAGAGGGAGCGAGAAGGAGAAAAAAGAAGAGGACTCTTTGCAGGCCGACGCTAAGTAAGCCGACGCAGAGTTAAGTTTCAGTTTTGTTTCGTTTAGACACGTGTAAATAAAGCATGTTTGTTCACTTGCGTTGGTGTTTGTGTGTGTGCCTCTGTGCTCTCATTGGGTTTCCCAGTCAGTGTGTTGACCCTTCCCCTGGCCATGCCGCACTGGTGGAGAATGTGGCCACCGCTCCTTTCTGGGTGGGTCCTGTGACTGGGAGCCGAGTTAGTCTCAGAGGCATGCCACAGCTACACCGTGAGTGCCATTAATTTTGCTTTTTTCTGTTTCATTTACAAAAAGAAAAAAGCCAAGAGCAAAGAAAAGAAAGAATAGAAGAAGCCAGAGCCAGCGACTTGATCCCTTATTCCTGGATCTATTGGAGCTCTTCTACTAGGCATGGAGCAATCAGCTCAACAACCCAAAGGAAACAAAGCAGCGGATTGGCTGGGCTGATTTACCGGCCTCTACGCTCCTGAAGGAGAGGCGGCGCCTGGCACCGCCTGAGTTAGGTTGGTGTGAGAGGTGCCCAAAAGAGTGGAAAAGGGCAGCGGAGTGTGACAACACTGAGCAGGGTTATTGCTGCTGCTGTGTCTATCCCGAGGAGGATGATGAGGAGAGCATGTCCTTTGAAGTGGCCGAGCTCCCACAGGCCACACAAGATGTGCTCAAGCCCAAGGAGCTTGGCATCCCTGAGCCTTGGCCCTTCCACCGCCCCCCAGCTCCTGTGGTGGCTGCATTGCTTTCAGCGTTGGATGGGGAATATGGCAGAGAGATAGCCCCCTTCCCTGCCCACCCTAGTCTGGTTCGTTCCTCTCCCTTCCATCTGGACACGGCTTATTCCTCTCTCCCTCCTCACTCACCTTTATTGAAAAAATGCTCACGTTTTCATGTTACTACCAAAACACAGTTTTAGTCCATAGGCGGAGCCATATTTTAGCCACGCCTCTTGAAGTAAATGTGTCCCATGTTCATTGTAGAGTTTAAGCAAATGGCAGAAAGGTGAAACTGGTTGCACTCTCACCTTGCCCCTCACTCCTTTGTTTGTATTGAAATTACCCTTTGTCTCACAACCTTAAGCTGATAACAGTCACCCCTCTTATCTCTACCCCCTACATCTCTATTCATATTCTCCTTCTACAACCCTTCCTTATCCCTCCTCAAACTCCTTTTCCACTTCCTTCCTCCCCCAACCCCCAGTATCTCTACTTAAACCATGTCAGACCATGTCATCAGACTGGACTAGACTGGTGACCAGACCAGACTGGTGACACCCTGATGACCAAGCTGTGTTCATGCATGATAGTCTGCATGCACGTGAATAAGACTAGACTCCTGATACTGCTGATTTTCTGTTGATCGACCAGTCTATACCCATACTCTGTATGTTGAAATAAACTCCAGTCAACGCTGAAGCTCCAGTCTCCTGACTCTTCCTGCTGAATTTCTAACACCTCACTCTGGCCCTAGTCTTGAGGCAGATTAGGGAACCAGCTCTGTGCCCAGGAGGTTGCTGGTTTGATCCCCTGAGCCAACAGTACGTGACTAAAGTGCCCTTAAGCAAGGCACTTAACCCCCAACTGCTCCCTGGGTACTGCGGATAGGGCTGCCCATCGTTCTGGGCAAGTGTGCTCACTGCCCCCTAGTGTGTGCGTTTACTAGTGTGTATGTAGTGTTTCACTGCACGGATTGGTTAAATGCAGATAAAATTTCCCTGTTGTGGGACTAACAAGGGTCACTTAATCTTAACCTTAACCTCAATTTAAAACCTCTTCCTACCCTCACCCTGGCCCTAATCCTAACTTTAATCTTAACCAAAGCCTAATCTAGTTAATATCCAGTTACAGAATGGTGTCAGCAGTGTGATTGTAACACATGGTGAGCAGTTAGATCCCATTGTTTTGTAGTAAATGTGTCCTAAAGTCTGAAAATCAGTGTGGAACATTAAGAATTTCTGCAGTTCAGTACTTTTTAGTGTTTTAATGAAAAATATCATGACTTTATGTTTGTACAGCTGTTCAAAAGGCTGTGTTTTGAGCTTGAAATGAGCTAAAATTGTCACTAGCGAAACAGTCACTACTGAAACATTTGGTAAAGTTTGTAAAGTTTTAGTAACATTATTGTTTGGTAGAGACAAAATGGAATGTTAAATCATTTATTTTAACAAAATTTAACATAATTAAGGTACAGAGTCACTCAAATCAAAAGGATTGTAGTCTAAAGTTCAGATCAGTTAAAAGTCCCAAATGTGTTTTCAGCTTTGACTTTGAATCAATTCGGTAGACTCATCCATATCCATATAGATGAGTGTGTGTGTGTTTGTGGTGAAAAAATATCAGGTATCAGAATAAAAGTACTGGATGTATTGTGAGCTAGTTTCTTCTGGATACCTCCAGATTTATTAAATTCCATCAAAATCACACCTGATTCAACAAAATAATTAGAAACCTACAGTTAATAAAGACAAGGTTTGGAAATGGTACAACAAACAACAATTACTTTCATAATTATATTATTATATATATTAATATATATTAATATACATTATTATATATATCAATATAATTTTTATTTATTCTAATATGTTTTTGTATCATTTATGTTTAAATTACCACCTACTGCACAAATAAATCAAATTTAATTTGCTGTTCTTTCAGATATACACACATATATTTATAACTATAATAAATAATATGTAAGACTTTATCCTAATTAAAGATTTCTCACCAAACTTCAGTTTCCAGGTGTGGAACTCCTGATCCTCCAGAGAAACACTGGCTGCACCGGCCACAACCACAAGAGCGGAGACAGCGAGCAAAACCCTCATTCTGCCGAGAGGAAGTCTCTGTGGTGATATTAAAGAAATAGTGGATGGCAACAACTTTCTAGAACTACCGGAGTAAACTGAGAGAAATTGCATCACTGGAATTAAATATTACCTACACTATCAGAAAAATGTACTAAATTGTCACTGCAATGGAACCCTCAAGGGATCCCCCCCAGTACCTTTAATCCATAGAAATGATGTATTATTAAGTTGTATTAACTCCATACACCCCAGCTCATCTCCAGGCTTTTCAATTTACTCTTATGTTTTAAATCATTAGGTTATGAAAGGTAATATTTTATTTGGAGTGATCCTTTGTAGATGATTAATAAACATTTAACAGAGTATCAGTAACACATCAACATCATATCAGTGAAGTAGCAATAGTGAAGCATCGGAATACATTGAGGTAAATATCTTGAAGATGTTCTGTTGATACATTATTTAAATTAAAATGCATTGTTGACATGTTACATGAAGTAGACTTAATATGTTACTTCCAATAAGCAAAACCTAACCTTGCCCAACATTACCCAAAACCTAACCCTCACTCTGGCATTAATCCTAACCCTAACCATAACCTCAAACCAAAACCTAACCCTCACTCTGGCATTAATCCTAACCCTAACCATAACCTCAAATCAAAATCTAACCCTCATTCTGGCATTAATCCTAACTCTAACCATAACCTCAAACCAAAACCCAACCCTCACCCGTGCTGTGGTTATGTTCTCACCTCCAGTAACTCTAATCTACTAATGCTGAGTCCAAAATTGATCCAATTTTTATTCTATTTTGCCCAATTAGTACATGTTTTATTAATGAAGTCAATTGTTGATTTGATGGCCTCCTAGTGGTCATCACAGCTCACAGTATTCATCTCATAACTTTTGAGTTACATTGTAGATAACCGAGAGTGAATTACATTTAAAGTTACTCAGCATCATCCACTTTAATTTTACACTTCTTTTTCAGCCTCATTGTTTTTACCTTAGGAAAGATCTTTGTCTGTATTTGAGCTCGTACCTTAGTGTGATCCGCTGCCTTGAAGCTCTCTGTAAGTGTAGCCCCGTTTACTGCCTTCATCCGGGTGTTATTTTGGTTATATCTGTCACTCTGTGGGCAGTCTGTGTGCTAAAGATGTTATCAAACTGCTCTGCTCACCACAAACTTAGCCAACACCTTTATCCAGATCATCTTATAAATTGTGCAAACAGTATGTGTCAAACCAGCACCCTTGCTCTACAAAGGTCAAAGATGAGAGAAATGAAATGAAGCTAAACAAATAAATCTAAATGAACTAAACAGGCTAAACCATTCCTTATAACTTATGTGTCAATGGGCAGGGCTAAATAGTAAGTAAGTAAGTAAGTAAGTAAGTAAGTAAGTGACCCTTATTAGTCCCACAATGGGAAAATTTCACCTCTGCAATCTAACCCATTCATGCAGTGAAGCACCACATACACATTAGTGAAGACACACACTAGGGGGCAGTGAGCACACTTGCCTGGAGCACTTGGTATGGGCGGGCTCCATGCTGCCGCGAGGTGAGCAAGAGTGGGGTTTAAACTCACACCCATTCAGTCGTCCAGGTGCGCAGTGGCCTGACCAGCTCTCAGTCCTGAGCGCCAAGGCGGGGCACAATAAATAGGTGCCTGAACAGGCAGAGAAATGTAAATGGCTAGGTTTTTCATGACATCACAAAAAATGCATGCTCAGAAACAAGAGCTAGATGCCAAGAACAAGAGGCTATGAAGTCCTGGATCAAACACTGTGGTGTTGTAATGTGACAGAATCAGTCAGACACTCACGGTAAAGCACAAGAAATGAGGCTTTACTTGTAAAGGGTTTCACAAGAATTGTAGTTGGTCATCTTGTAGCGTAGGTCAAATACAAAAGAGTAAAAAGACAAACAAGGACAAACATAACAAAAGAAATCAAATCCAAAAAGGCAAAGACATAAAGGCAAAGTCAGAAAACCCAGAAATAGGGTCAAATACACAAACATGGCAAACAGGAAAGAGTAAATTAAGATTAAGTGACCCTTATTAGTCCCACAATGGGGAAATTTCACTTCCGCATTTAACCCATCCGTGCAGTGAAACACCACATACACACTAGTGAAGACAAACACTAGGGGGCAGTGAGCACACTTGGCTGGAGCGGTGGGCAGTCCTATCCTCAGCGCCCGGGGAGCAGTTGGGGGCAGTTGGAAATGCTCAGTACTATCAGAAGCAATACCTCGCAACTGACTGACTCTAAAACGCACGCTTTTAAACTACACTAGTGGTCATATGACACATAGAACAGGTGCAAGACATCCATTTTCTGGTGATTGCGAATGGTGATTGGAGGATTGAAGAAATTCAACAGTCATGTAATCTCCCACAGGATTCTGCTAAATGTCCATGTGTGAGTCAAAGCTGGAAGGATGCGAGACAGGTGTTCTTAAAAAAGTGGACTTGGACCAACACTTAGAAACTGTCTGCATTTCAAATCACTTAGAAAGTCCCATCTCTTTCTTCCATTTCCTGTGACAAAGTTTTCACAATGAGCAGTGAATGACAGTACTGCTATGTGTCACTGTGCAACAGACATTTTGTTGCTTACCATGCTCACCATCTCTCCTACAGAGGAAGATCATTTGACCCAACTTCCCTTCCAGACAGCGGTCATCACCACATGTTCTCAGCCCTTGGCTTTGCACCTTCAACTGGAGATGGAAGAGGAGTTGCACTACTCAGAAGCAACAACACACCCACATGCTGTGAACATGACCACACAACCTCTGGCACAACTAACGGGCAGTCTGGTACACTATGTTCGAGGGTCTCCTGGACCAAATTGGCCTCATCATAGAAAATAAATCATTCAGCCCTACCTTCAGCCACAGAATGCGTCCACCCACTCCTGCTGGCGTTATCAGAATCTGGAACAGCACTGTCACTGTCTGGAAGTGACTCCATGCGTGTTGCCTCTGGAACCCCTTCAGAACAACTAATCTTGCTCCATCTGTCTCTTCTCTGGATGATGCATGCCTCATAGGCCTTCATTTTGTCTCCTCTCCATGCCTCAGACTAGACTAGAATTGTTTGTTTTGGGTGCTCCTGGGAACCTGCTCATCTCCTAGTCATTTCAGTTGCTCATCTGCTATCAACTATTGTATCAACACTCTCTCATCCCATTCAGTCATCAGTCCATGGGAGCAATATCTGTTCAACCTCACTGGTCTTCTCTGGGGGCTTGGATTTCAGGAAAGTGATCATCATCCACAGTCATAACTCAAGTCAAGTCAAGTCAGGCTTTATTGTCATTCCAGCTATATACAAGTACACAGTGAAATGAAACAACATTCTTCCAGGAAAAACACAGGAACACAAGTGCAGAACAAGTGCAGACAATACAGTACACTAAATACTTACAATAAATACTAAACAGAACACAGGCAGTACACAGTACTGAGAGTATGTGGAGCTGTGCAAAGGAGGATGTAACATACTATGACATATTAGCAGCTTAGCAGATAGCCTTGCATATAGCCTAAGAGTCACTGAGGTAGCAACCAGAGCAGCAATATACAGTATACAGTATTTGGTTGATACAGTAATTTTAGCAGCTAAAATTGTTAAAGTGAAGTGTTTCAGTGAAATGCAGTGACTATATTTATACAGTGTTCCATAATTTGGAACGGCAAGAAGTGAAGAGTGAGTTAGTCCCATATTGTTATGTATGTGGGTGTGTGGGTCCGTGTGGGTGTTATATATATGTGTGTGAGGGGGTCCGTGGGAGCTGAGTAATCTGATGACTTATGGAAAGAGACTGTTGCCCAGTTTGGCTGTGAGGGTACCTTCTTCTAGATGGCAGAAGAGAGAACAGTTTGTGTGAGGGGTGATGATGATGTTGATGATGTTGATGATGATGGACATGGGTCAACACAATGGTATGATGACAATGGACTCAACAAAACACATGATGATGATAATGATGATGAGGAACAACACACATCATCATTGTCATCATGATAGACTCAGGTCAACACAATGATGAACTCAGGACAACCAAGGTGATGATGATAAAGATGATGGACACACATGATGATGACAATGAAAATGATGAACAGGTCAAAAAACATAATAATGATGATTGATGATGATAATTGGGACAAGCAAACAGGCTTTTAATTCGCTTCTCTTCACCACAAATCATATGGAGCTCAGTAGCTCATAAAGATGATGGACTTCTGTCAACACATATAATGACAATGGACTCAGGACAATGTATATGATGATGCTGATGAATGATGATGCCCAGCATATCAATTCACTTCTCATATCAATGCAAATCACATGGAGTGCGGTAGCTAGCTAACTAACTTGATAGCTTGTTTAAACATCTCATACACATTAAAAATATACAAAATTATAACATTATAATAAGCACTAGTGTTTAGTTTATTTTCACTTATTTTTTCATTTATTCATGGTGGAAGTAACATTGTTTGAAAATAAGCACCTGCATACAGATTGCTTAATATTTTCCTCTTCTTTTCCTTCTTTTCAACAACAGAAATGTGACAGAAACGGCCACATGCAGTGATCAGAGACACTTGCGGTGAGTGTGTCATAATGCAGCAACAAAATGTGCTAGTGGTCACATCCGTTACTTTTCAACATCTTTCAGGTCTACACTTGTAAAGATGTCTCTCATGTCTCCTTCTTCTTCTTTATGTCTTCTCTTCATGTCTTCCCTTCATTTGTTGTCAAGCATTTTAATTGTTTAAACCATTTTGTGTACTGTTCACATTTTTGTTTATTGTTTGTTGTGACGTCCTATGCACAACAAGAAGTACAAAAGATTATTTTAATCTTTGATATTTAGCAAACCACTTTTTAAAAATTGAAATACTGAGAAAGTTTAGCATTAAAAAGTATGATTTTGAGTGCTATGGGTCTTCAATGATTGCTGCATGAAAATTGAAATTGCTTTAATTTACAGGAAAGCAAGAAGAACACACTTAAACCTGAAACTGTGTTGTGAACATTGAATAAAGATGACATTGTACATTATGTGAAAGTTTGTATCTGTAAGTAACTGTAAGTTACTATCCTGAAAGTTTACTCTATAGGTATAGGTAATTAGTAGAAGTAGCTCAATTTCAGACGAATGGCAACCAGTATTATCTGACTCAGATCTGTGTTTCTCACATATTCCTGTGAGCATCCAGTCACAGTGAACAGCGGCCTGTACAGTAGACCAATAATATAGTTTGGTCCAGCAAAGAATGCTAATATCATGTGTGTAATGGTAGTAAACAGAGGCATAATGAGAATCACAATTGTCCTAGAACAGAGCCTTGTGGGACATCATAATTCATTTCAGAACAAGCAGAAAATCTGGCATTTACATTTTTTGAGCTACAATTTTGAAAACTTTTTGGCAAGTGGGTTATCTTATATCTAATCTCCACAGAAATAGCATGGATTCCTAAATCAATGCTAGGCAGCGTAGGGCTCGCTCCTGGTTCACACTCCCAGTTTATCCATTAAATGCGAGTGGAAACATGACAAAAAGCTGACTGAGGCCTCCAGGGACTGACAGAAGGCCTTCTGAAAAGGCTCACTAACATGAATAGCAGGTGGCTAGAATCTGTGTGTGGAAGGATGAGTTTAAGACTATATTAAGGAGTAGAGGGGGTCCACACTGCCCAGGGTATCTTAAGATTCTTGGTCTCTGGAAGATAAAATAGTAAAAATCAAACATGTCGCAAATATATGCTGAGGTTGGACTGTGACTGATGTCCTCCTATGCCCTACATGCATCAGGGGTCCGCTGGAACTGGCCCTGACACTTTTTTGTGAGGGCAGTGAGAGGGGAGATTTTCTGAAATATCACAAAGATGCTAAGCACAGGAAGTAAAAACAAAAAACTTTTAAAAATGACCTGCCTTTGAAGGAAAACCAGGCACAGATGTGTGATGATTTGTACATGCGGTTAGCAGTTTCTTATGTTAACTGGTGGATTATAAGCTTCCTTCACTAATATGAGATTAACTGAAATTAATAAGTATTTGTTGACTGTAGTTAAATAAAG